GTGTGTGTGTGTGTGTGTGTGTGTGTGTCTGTGTGTGTGTGTGTGTGTGTCTCTGTGTGTGTCTGTGTGTGTGTGTGTGTGTGTGTGTGTGTGTGTGTGTGTGCTCTCTGTGTGTCTCTGTGTGTGTGTGTGTGTGTGTCTGTGTGTGTGTGTGTGTGTGTCTGTGTGTGTGTGTGTCTGTGTGTGTGTGTGTGTGTGTGTGTGTGTGTGTGTGTGTCTGTGTGTGTGTGTGTGTGTGTGTGTGTGTGTGTGTGTGTGTGTGTGTGTCTGTGTGTGTGTGTGTGTGTGTGTGTGTGTGTGTGTGTGTGTGTGTGTGTGTGTCTGTGTGTGTGTGTGTGTGTGTGTGTGTGTGTGTGTGTGTGTGTGTGTGTGTCTGTGTGTGTGTGTGTGTGTGTTCCTCACTGGGGTTTCACTGTGAAATATCTGCTCTGTTTTATTTTCAGCCCTGTTTTGTGTGTTGTTGTGTTACAGTGTGTCTGGAGGGTGTTGTGTTGTGTGTGTTTGTGTAGTGTTGTGTGTAACTCTGTTGTGTGTAACTCTGTTGTGTGTAACTCTGTTGTGTTGTTGTTGTGTTACAGTGTGTCTGGAGGGTGTTGTGTTGTGTGTGTTTGTGTAGTGTTGTGTGTAACTCTGTTGTGTGTAACTCTGTTGTGTGTAACTCTGTTGTGTGTTGTTGTGTTACAGTGTGTCTGGAGGGTCAGGGTGCAGATTGTCGTCTTTCTCAGTCCAGAGACGACGACTTCGACTGGGAACAAGGAGAGAGACACAGCCCCACGGGCCCCTGGGTCCCCACAGGTAACACACACATACTATACACACACAACACAACACTATACACACACCCCGCGGGCCCTGGTTTAGACCTGGTTTAGTCCTGATTCAGACCTTGTTTAGTCCTGGTTTAGACTTGGTTTAGTCCTGATTCAGACCTTGTTTAGTCCTGGTTTAGACCTGGTTTAGTCCTAGTTTAGACCTGGTTTAGTCCTGGTTTAGTCCTGGTTTAGTCCTGGTTTAGACCTGGTTTAGACCTGGTTTAGTCCTGGTTTAGTCCTGTTTAGACCTTTAGTCCTGGTTTAGACCTGGTTTAGACCTGGTTTAGACCTGGTTTAGTCCTGATTCAGACCTTGTTTAGTCCTGGTTTAGACCTGGTTTAGACCTGGTTTAGTCCTAGTTTAGACCTGGTTTAGTCCTGATTCAGACCTTGTTTAGTCCTGGTTTAGTCCTGGTTTAGACCTGGTTTAGACCTGGTTTAGTCCTGGTTTAGTCCTGGTTTAGACCTGGTTTAGACCTGGTTTAGTCCTGGTTCTTGGTCTCGGGCTGCGTCCTGTTTACGGCCTCTTGTATCCTTGTCTCCTTGTCTCCTCGCTTCACGCCTTATTTCCTCTGCTCATTTCCTCGGCCGTGTCCAATAACTCGTGCAAAGCGGTGCTCGTGTCCTCGCCGCCTGTCTCGCGCCTGATTGGCCGCTTGATTTAGTGACGCGCGTTCTCATTCGTCAGCGGCTTCTTTTAAACCGGGTCATAACTCAGAGCACAAAGCGGCGTCCAATCAAAGAGCGCTAATTAAAGCCATCACTTACAGCACTGCACTACACTTCCCAGCATGCACCTGTCAGAACCACGATAAAGGAGCCTGGACACACAGATACAACAGACCAGGACTGAGACCAGGACCAGGACCAAGAGACCAGGACCAAGAGACCAAGACCAAGAGACCAGGACCAACCAGGACCAAGAGACCAGGACCAGACCAAGGACCAGGACCGAGACCAGACCAAGAGACCAGGACCGAGACCAGGACCGAGACCAGGACCAGACTGGAACAGCACTAAACCAGGACCGGACCAATGCTAGACCAGGACTAGACCAGGTCTAAATCCAGTCTGGACCCAGTCTGGACTCGGTCTGGTTTTGGACTAGACCCGGTCTGGATTCGGTCTGGACTCTGTGACCTGTGGTTGGACTCTGGGTCTGGGTCTGGGTCTGGGTCTCGGGGGGATCAGGGTTTTTATTTGGTTCAATATTTTTATAAGTCCCAGTGAGACCAGGTCCAGACCCAGACTGGAACTGGTCTAAACAGGGTCTAAAGCAGGTCTGGATTGGGTTTGGTCCTGGTCTTGGTCTTGGTCCTGGTCCTGGTCTTGGTCCTGGTCTTTGTCCTGGTCTTGGTCTTGGTCCTGGTCCTGGTCTTTGTCCTGGTCTTGGTCCTGGTCCTGGTCCTGGTCTTGTCCTGTCTTTGGTCCTGTCCTGGTCCTGGTCTGGTCCTGGTCTTTGTCTCTTGGTCCTGGTCTTGGCTTGGTCCTTGGTCTTGGTCCCTGGTCTTGGTCTTGGTCCTGGTCCTGGTCTTGGTCCTGGTCTTGGTCTTGGTCCTGGTCTTGGTCTTGGCCCTGGTCCTGGTCCTGGTCCTGGTCTTGGTCCTGGTCTGGTGGTCCTGGTCCTGGTCTTGGTCTTGGTCTTGGTCCTCCTGGTCTTGGTCCTGGTCCTGGTCCTGGTCTTGGTCC